GAATCCACCAGATGCTCTGCCGGGGAAGGAGGGGCAATCTCCTCCTGTACCAGTCAGATCTGATTTGACGGTACACGCACACAAAACTTAATTAAAAAAAAAAAAAAAAAAAAAGCGCCTTCCCCCAAGACCACTCCACTACCTCCGTTCTGGACTCCTGTCTTAGTAATATCTAATCATATATCCCTTTTAACAGTTCTCCCCCTCATCTGTTTCAATGCAGTATACATTATTTATTACCTCTTTTTCAGTCTTCCCCCAACTCCAATGTCAGTCTTCTTTTATAACAGCGGCATTAGGCCGTATTTGTCTTTTTTGTGACTGAGATATTTCACTCAGCATCAAGTCCTCCAGGGTCATCCATTTTGTGTAATATTTCATGAGTGCCTTGTTTTTCAATGCCGCATAGGGAATACAAAATCCTTCTACATCCCCAGATGGTGTTCTCTAACTATGGGGGCAGAAAGCAACTTCCTTTCCCCCAATCACTCCCCTTGGCCTGGAAGCTAATGTGATACAGGACCCTCCTCCCGGCCCCATCCCAGCTCCAGGACGGACTATGCTGAAATCTCAGGATAGAGCCTATTTTTAAATGCCCCTGAAACAAAATAAAGATGCTAGAGCAGACTGCCAGGTTCAAATTCTGATCTTCACAAACGTGCCTAAGAAGCTTAAAGAAACGGCAAATCTGAGTCCGTGCAAGTGGAAACCATTTAGCACAGAGCTGGAGCAGAAAAAAACATAGTCGGCACACGTTATTATCAGTATCAACACTTCTTTTACATTCTGGGTTGTAGTTACTGCTCCAGGGACATTACTCCCTCTACATTTGAATCGTACAAGGTTTGGGGAAACTTCCAGACCAGACCAGGGCTCTGGCCACATGTGTACATAAGTGCACATGCCCCAGCGCTGTATTCAGTCACCTAAACGGGTCTCATGCTGGTGAGTCATGGAAAAGGAAATGCTTTCTGCGTAAACTTAAAAAAATGAAACTTCCGCCCTCTTTCAATCTCCTAGAATTTTAGTTCATAAGGCAAACGCGCCCATCTCATGAAAAGTGAAAGTGAGCACCCCCCCAGAGGTATTTTTGCATGGCAGATTAGGAACAAATATGTAAGATATGCGAATAAATCCCAGATACTGCCATCCATGGATTCTGAGGCATAATGACGCTGCAGGACAGAGAGGAACTGTCCTCAATATTTCCAAAGTATCTATGTACGACGAAGATGCTGCTTCATTTTTCCGACTCGACGGCACATAACAACAACAAAGCGGAGGGTGGACAGTCATATGACCGCCCTGTTTCGGTTAGCAGGTTTCAACTACTATGCTGAGGACACCTTAAGTTGTGAAGAGTGCTCTAATGGGGAGAAATAAAGCCCATTATAACCAGGTCTTGATTTTTCAGGAACTGTAAAATTTTTTAAAAAATATAAAGTGCCTATCTTAGAAGGACGTTAGCAACCTCGAAAAGGCCACACACAAACCAATCTTCAGCACTCAGTAAGCGATTCCTGGTTACACGCTGTTCCTGCCCTGCCATCAGGTACACCCTTTGCTGCCGGCGCATTCGATCACCCGCTTCACCCCGCGCCCGAGTTTCCGCTTTCCATACACGGGCTTGCTGCGGGCGGAGCGGAGATGCAGGGCAATCCTGGCCATTTCTGAGACAGATCCAGGAACAGCAGCGCTAGAGAACTCTCTGCGTTCTGATTAGCCTTCTCACGTATGTTCACGTACCAGGCCCTGCCCGTATTCTCACGTCTGACCTTCCAACACCCCCTCACGGCACTGTCGTCATCCGCCTTCAGGGGAGCGGCCGTGTAACCCCGGCGGGAGAAGCGGCCGGGGACCGCGAGCCGTGCGCGGCCGGCAGGAGGTACCCACACGCGACCCCCGTCCCCGCCTCGGCGCGCGCCCCCGGAACTCCGCCCCGCGGCGCCCGGAACCCCGCCCCTGCTCCGCCGCGTCTGCGGGTGCAGCGCCTGCCCGGGCCCTGACCCCTTCCTTAGTAGTCTCTTGTCACTTGCCCGTTGGCGCCGGCCTAAGTTCTGGTCGACCTGAACTCCGTGGTCTACCGCTCGCTGTCCCCGGTTGCGCCGCGCTCGGGTCCGCAACAAGCCCGCCCCTCCAGCCGCCTACGCCCAAGACCCGCCTGTTCCCGCAGGGGTCGGCTACGCCCAGTTCGCCGGGAGGTTGGGCCGCGGGGGTCTCCGCTGCGGAACCAAGGACGGGAAGTTCGGAACTTTGCTAAGCCTAGATGCCCCGTCTCCCTCTTAACTCACAGGCGGCTCAGCAGTGTATACTGACGTCTTGTTGAGTGCTCTTCAGCCAGCTGGACTCATAACGACCCCAAGAACTACAGATATAAATCTTATCCTATCCTGCGCCATCCTCACCGTCTCTGATAAGCTTGTGTCCATTGCTACACTGTATCAATCCATCTTGTTGAGGGTTTCCACCTTTCCCAGTATGAGGTCTTTTCCCCATGACCGAAACCTCCAGACAGCACACCCAAAGTATGCCTCACCCAGTGAGGCAAACTTGTGTCTCCCGTTTTAGAATCTTACTCCAAGGAGAAGCCAGAAAACTACACCCAGGCACACCCCACCCCTGCGCAGACACTAGTCCTACTTTCACCTGGTCCCCTCCTCGCACCAAGTGGCTGAGATAGAGTCTGTTCTTTCCCCGGCTTGTAATTCTTCCTTAGAGGAAGAGCTGAAATTTTGTATTTGAACTTAGTCTGTCAGAGAAAGTGCAACCAGAGTGCTCCTTAGAGACAAGGATGGTGAAACTTCGTCTCACGTACTTTGTTGTTATGGACCATGGAATCCCCCGCGACTCATAACGACTCTTACATAGCTCTGAACTTTACCCTATGCTGAGCCGGTCTCATTGTCTCAGACACACCTACCCTTATTACCCCAGTTACCGTGTCAATCCATCTCATCCAGGCTCTTCCTCTTGCGCTATCTCTCCACCCTTCCAAGCATGATGTCCCTCGCAGGGACTGTTCCCTCCTGAACACATGCCCAAAGTATCTTAGAGGGAGCTTCAAAATCCTTGCCTCCAAGGAGCATCCTGGTTTTACTCTCTTCAGGATAAATCTGTTCTCTTGGGAGTCCATGGTATGTTCAACACTCTTCTCCATCACTGCAACTCAGAGGCATCAGTGATTCTTCTGTCAACTCTAGTCATTGTCCAGCTCTTTGATGCACAGCAAGTAATTGCGAAGACCATGGCTGAATCAGGTGCACCTTAGTCTCCAGAACTGACATCGTAGCTCTTTATCACTTTGGAGAGGTCCCTGACAGCAGCTTTCTGCAGAGCAATTCGTCTTTTGATTTCTTGGCTGCTGATGCTTATTGATTGTGGATCCAAGCAAGATGAAATTGATAACAAGCTCAGTCTCTTCTCCATCTATCATGGTGCTGCTGATTGGATGAGTGTAGATGGTGAGGGTGGAGCAGGACAGGGCAGAGTTCAGATCTGTTGTTCACAGGGTCACTGTGAATCCTAGTCAACTTGACAGCCCCTAACAATAACATATCCCCAAGGGGTGTGCCTCCAGGCAGGCCTCTGTTAACTGAAAGATTAATAAATCTTTTGGCCAGGAGTAAGGAAATTAAGAAATTTCTTTCAATCAAGAAATATTTTGAAAGGAAAGGCAATACATAATATGGTGCTAATTCAAACTCAAATTGTCTTTCAGTAGGAACCAACTAACTCATAACTGACTCTGCAGTGGGTTTCCAGAGGCTATAAATCACACAGGATGAGAAAAGATTGCCCATGTGTTCCTTTGGAGCTGCTGGTGGATTTGAATCACCAGAAAAACAACACCTTTGGCATAGCAGCGCAACTCCCTAGTACTACACCACCAGGGGTTGATTAGACACTGTAATTGAGTATGTTAATGGTAATTAACATTGTAAAACAGAAAAACCAATATGATTTGTAAACTTTCACTCACATAAAGAACTAATTGAGGGGGAGGGAGTGGGCAGGGAGAAAAGTGCAACAATGAATGACTGGAAACCCAAAGTCTGTTAACTTTCATTTAAATTAATAAAACAAACCAACCAACCCACACCACCAAAACCTAACTGCACAAGAGCGTCTGCATAGTTAGAGACCACATAGGTAATTCCAGCCAAGACTATATCTTCTCTATGATTGTTGTTATTATTACTAGATGTCATCAAGTCAAGTATGACTCATAGTGACCCTATAAACAATAGATCTGAACCCTGTCCTATCCTGTGCCAAACTCACAAACTCGAGCCCATTTCTCCAATCCACCTAGTTGAGGTCTCCTTCGCTGTCCTGTCACCTTTCCAAGCATAATGTCCCTTTCCAAGGAATAGCCTCTTCTAGCAACATGCCCAAATTATGAGAGACAAAGCTTCACCATCTTTGCTTCCAAGGAGCAATCTAGCTTCACCTTCTCCAAGACATATATCTGTTTGTTCTTTCGGCAGTCCATGAGATGTTGAGTACTCTCCTCCAACATCACAACTCAAAAGCATTTTTTCTTCTGTCATCTGTATTAATGATTCAGCTCGCAAATGCATAGCAAATGATTGAAAAGATCATGGTCTGTATCAGGCACACCTTAGTCCTCTAACATCATTGCTCCTCAGTAATTTGGAGAGGTTCCTAACTGCAGACTTTCCCAATGTTGTTGCTAGGTGCCTTCAAACGGACTACAACTCATAAAGATTCTATGAACAACTGATCTGAACCTTGTCCTATTCTGTACCATCTTCACCATTTCTAAAGTGCTCGAACCCATTGTTAGCCACTATCAATCTATCTTGTTGAGGTCTTCCTCTTGTTCCCAGCTTAATGTCCTTTTCCAATGACTTGACCTCTTCTGACAACATGGCCAAAGTATGTAAAACAAAATTTCACTATCCTTGCTTCTAAGAAATACCCTTGTTTGCACTGCCTCTGAGACAGACTTGTTTATTCTTTTGGTAGTCCATAGTATTTTCGTTACTCTTCTCCAACACCACAACTCAAAAGTATGAAGTCTTCTGTCATCAATACCCATTGTGCAACTTTCAGATACATAGCAAGTAGTAAAAAGACCATAGCATTGATCAGACATAAATTGGTCTTTAAACTGACATCATTTCCCTTTAGCAGAGGTCCTTCACAGCTGATTTTCCCAATGCAACATGTCTTTTGATTTCTTGACTGCTTTTACCAAAGGTGTTGATTGTAGATCCAAAAATTAAATCATTGACAACTTTAATATTTTCTCCATCTATCATGTTGTTGCCTATTGTTCCAGTAGTGAGGAATTTTGCTTCTTCGATGTGGAGATATAATTCATACTGAAGTCTTTAATCTTCTGCTGCAAGTACTTCAAGTTCTCTTCACTTTTTTCAATCTGCATAACATGGGTTATTGATGAGTCTTTCTCCAGTTCTGATGCCACATTCTTCATATTCTAGCTTCTCAAATGATTTTCTCAGCATACAGATTGAATGTTGTTAAGTGCCATCAAGTTGTAGATGACTCATAGCGACTCTATGAACAAAAGTCTTGAACATGAAAAGCTTTCATCTCTTCTCTAAATTTATAGAGTTTCTGGAGGCAAGCTATTTTGGAAGTGGATGCCGCTCCTGCTTCTAAGCCTGTTTTTATTCAGGAGCTCCACCAAACACTGTTTACCATGGGTAACCATTATCACATTTGACATATCAATGTCACAGTGTTTCGCATCACAGCAACCACGAGTTGTCTTTCTACAGCAAATTGCCAGCTGCTCCACTCATCTTCCCAGACTGACTGAAAGCACCTCCAGATGGGTGACCAAATGCCTTTTTAAATTGGAGGCCAAATCTAATCCACTCACACCCAGTTTCAGGCAACAGCCATGCCGAGGTCTCAACCAAAAACCAGAAAACAAACTTAAGCAGAATCTGGCCAGCCACTCCATTCATAGGTATGGAGAAAGGATACATTCTCACACACACTTTTTCTGCTTTTAAACTATTTTTAGTGTTCCCTACGTCAGCTTGGACAACTGCTTCTTGGTCTAGGTATAAGTTTCACATGAGCACAATTAAGTGTTCTAGGATTCCCATCCTTCTGAAAGTTAGCTATAATTAGTATGATCAAATGCCTTTGCATAGTCAATAAAACACAAACATCTTTATGGCATTCTTGTCTCTCAGCAAAGGTCCATCTTACTTTTACATTTTACTTGCATATGATATTAATGATATTGCTCCATTACTCCCATATTCTTTTGGAGAGGCACCCTTTTTACTAACCTGCCGAAGTATTGTACAGCTGGTGGTGCTCCCTGCACTGACCTCAGGCAAGGCACTAGCAAATGAAATTATTTACATCTGATGAGTATTTTTTCAGCACCTACTATGTGGGAGGTGATATTCTAGATCCTTGGACTTTGTTCAGTGTCAGCAAATATCTGGGCATGAGTGAGAAATATGTGAGATGACACTATTGAGACAACATCAGAGGAAGACAGTCACACAACCCCCAGTCCCAGCCTTGTGGTTAGAAGTCTGGGTAGGGGATTAAAGGATTTGTCCCATGACTTTTGTGCTGTGATATGAAATATCAACCCTTCTCCCTGCTGTTGGTCGAAGGGATAAGCTTCACTTTTTTTTTTTTTTTTTTAAATTTTTGTGTGTGTACCATCAAATCGGATCTGACTGGTACAGGAGGAGATTGTCCCTCCTTGTCCAGCAGAGCATCTGGTAGATTCGAACCACTTACCTCTGGGATTGCGGTGCAGCTTCTTGCCACTAGGCCACCAGAGCTCACCAAGCTTCACTTTCTCTAGCACCCAGGAGCTGGCCATCCATTCAGAAACCACAGGGCACTATTTAGGCTGGAAACACTTTATTTCGCTGTATGCAACAGGGGTGGGAAAGGGAGGGCACTGCTGTCCTTCCATCAGGAGCAGGGGACAGGAGCATAGAGGGTAGGGAGGTCTGGAAATGGCATTTCTAAGAGAACAGTTTCCAGGCCATAGGGAGCCTGACTGGGGTGTGGAAGTGGACAGAAAATCCCCTCCCCACTCATCTAGGGTTTGCTTATTCCAGCTTTCAGCATTAGAGCCCAATCCTGCACCCTACCTACCCCTAGGTCACCCTGGGCAGAAATTTGGGAGTCCTCTGGGGAACCCAGCCTCGACTTAGTAATCATCTGGCTTCTGGGGTTTCATGGACGTAAGGACAATCCAAACAAACCCCATCCCACCCCATAATGGGGGTCAGCCCATCTCACCCTGGGCCCGAGTCTCTAGGCCATCACTAGCTCTTCAGAGCAAGATGGCACAGCAGTGGTGTCATAGAGTTGAGCATGGGGCCACAGGGCCCTCCTATTTCTCAGATCTGCCTGAGCGACATGGTTGCCTCCCAGCACTGGCACTTTTCAAAGCAGTAACAGCCTGCTTGACCCCTTGCCGCCCCTCCTCCGAGGGTATCCTGAGAACACCAGAAGACACAGATCTAGGCTGGCATCTGAACTTGGAGACCCATTCTCAAAGGAGCCTGGGGAAGATGCTGCACTTTGCTAACCTTGGGGGCGCTGTCTACCAACGAGGCCCACACAGGCCTTCCTGCCATCACTTAGGCCAAGACCTTGGGTAGATGGAAAGCTGCCCCTCCAGGTGATAAGGGTCGCACAAACCGAGAGGCACTGCAAGAAAGGCAACTGGGGGGGGGGAGGGGTCAGGATGAATTAGGGGTCTTAGGGGAGCCTCACCTCCCCATCCCAAGCCCAGCCCTTCTCTGACAGCAGTTTACCAGTTGGGGTTCAGCAGGTGGGGTCTCGGGGCCGTCAGGGCAGAGGGGGCCCGATGGTGATGCTGCTGTTGGTGACCCGTGGGCCATACCAGCCAACCCAGTAGTGAGTGTCCACGCCGCCATGCTGAAACCAGATGTAGCGGACACCAGGTGGGTAGTTGGAGAATGTGTGGGAGACCTGGAGGAACCAGAGGTAGGTAAAAGGTCAAGGGCTGACTTTAAGGATGGCTGTGCCTGAGGGGACAGGGAAGGGAAGAAGAGGTGGAGTTCTTAGTGCTGGAAAAAACACTGGAATCAGGAGAATGGAGTTTTAGTCCTAGCTCTGTGATTCTGGGCAGAACATCTCTATTCTCTAGGCTTCAGTTTCTTCATCTGTAAAATGGAGCATATCTGGTCTACAGAATGACATGCAGCCCAAGAAACTTTATAAACTGCCACAGGGTGTCTCCATCTGCCATGCCCAATGTGGCTTTCGCTGGCCATTTAAAGGAAAATAAATGTAAAAAATCAGTTCCTCAGTCCCACCTGAAAACTGGCTATTTACAAAGCATTCAATAGTTACTCTAGGCTGAACAAGTCGGTACAGATTCAGAACATTCCTATCATTGTAGAAAGCTTATCAGAGAGATCAGGGATTGGCAAACCTAGGCATTTGATGGGCTGGCTGCCAATGTCTGTTATAAGTAAAGTTTTACGAACTTCATTTACATATTGCCTAAGTTGTGGATCTTTTTGGATATTTCCTCAGGCCAAGTCAGCATCATCCCATGAACTTCTTTCAAAGCTCTATGTGCCAAAGCCCAAACGGAAAGCAGCTGAGCTGGGATTTGAACCTAGGCCTGACTGTAGTCTTAGCCTTGGGGGATACTCCCACCTCTGTCCTCAGCTTACAAACCTCCCTCCACTTGGAATCACTTTTCTGTTGGATTGTCACTGGGTCCGGCTGGAAGGTCCCCAGTGGTGCGTGCGCAGATGACAGGAGCTGAACACACAGCTGGTACTTGGACCCGCAGTCTGGCCTGGCTGCGAACCTGTAAGTAGAAAGACAGTCTATAAGGACCTCAGAGGTGGGGCAGGCAGGGTAGGGGTGGGGTGCCAGAGTGGCTAGCTGCCCCTAGTCCCTGTCCTCATGGCACTCACCAGTCCTTGACTTCTATGTCTGGCCGTGTAGTGTCCATTAGCTCTTCCCAATACCCTTCGGCCTTGAGGTCCACCACCTGGGACTTGAGGCAGGTGCTGGAGGGACAGGAGGGTCTGAAACTCACCACTAGAGCACTGGGGTAGGGCTCCCCCACCCCAGGAAGGAGAAACCTCAAGGGAAAATGACTTGGGCTTTCCCCCACCCTCAGACGACCCCTGGATTTCGATCTTACTAATAAGAAGTGACGAAGTATTTCTTGACCTGGCCATTGGGGAATTCCTTCCTCTGGTCTTTAGAGAGATCCTCTACCTTCCACTCATCGCCACCATTCACATCCAGGCTCCAGAACTCAAAACCCTCTGGTGGGAACAGCAGAGTTCACATCACAAGAAGTCCCTTCTCCAAGTGTCCCTTTCTCCTGGTCACTCCCCCTGGATCGTCCCAGCTGATCTTGAATGGAGTTCTATGGGACAGTGCAGTTCAACAATGTCCACCTCCTGTTAGGTGCCCTTGTGTGTTAGGAACCACGCTGAGTGCCTTCTACTGGGAATCCAGAGATACGTGATTACATGAAAGCAGATCCACCCATAGCCATGATGTGGAACACAAACCTGAGCCAGCAGGCCTGGGACCTGTCTCAGCAATGCTTTCCCTATCTGAACCTTGGTTTCCCCTTCTGTAAACGAGGTCCAAAAAAGGGGCTGGCAATTTTTTTCTGTAAACAGCCAGATGGTAAATATTCTGTGTTTTACAGACCATATACTGTCATTATTGCACAATCTTAAAAAAACCCTTTTTTTCCAACCCTTTAAAGATGTAAAAAGTATTATTAGCTCCTGGGGCCAATGCGGCTTGTGGACCAAACTTCGCTAACCAGCAGTCAAGAACATAGTTGTTGGGAAGTCAAATAAGGGAAGGCATCTAAAAGCTCTGGACAGGCTGGAGGTTTGTTTTTGTTTTTTAAATTATTTTTGTGTGTGCGTACCGTCAAATCGGATCTGACTGGTACTTCCTTCTCCAGCAGAACATATGGGGAATTCAAACCACATAACTCTGGGATTGCAGTGCAGCTTCTTGCCACTAGGCCACCAGAGCTCCCTTGGAGGGGTTATTTTATCATTATTTTATTCCAGAACTTGGTCATGCAATGGAGGACTAAGTTCCTAAACCCATAGAGTGTCCAGTGACAACTGAGCAAGGAAAGAAGGCGATTCCTTCTGGTGACCACAGAAACTGTGGTTGTAGCACACTGGAAAGAAGAGTGGAGCTCCCGCTCTTCCACAAGCAAAGGCCCCTTTGCCCTCTGGGACAGTCCTGGTAGGTCAACTTCTAGAATCTGGGACCTAGGCCAACAAAATACGGTTCTGACTTCCTGGTCTTGTGTCTTGGGCAGAGTCAGTTCCAACTTGCCAACTCTCCCTCGCCAAGAAAAGGTCATGAGGAAATGATCTTAAGAGTCGACTAAAAAGTGCCATTCTTGATGCTAGTCACTAGCAGTGCCTACCTTTTAGAGTTCCTGAGAGAGGGTTAGTGAAACCTCTCAAACCTCTCTGCAGAGTGCTCAGACCAGTTGCCATTTTGATTCCGACCCATACCAACCCCATGCTCCATGAAGTTTTCAATGGCTGTGATCCTTCAGAAGTAAATTGCCAGGCCTTTCTTCTGAGGTGGTTCTGGGTAGATTTGCCCTTCGGTTAGTAGCCAAGAGCTTAACTGTTCACCCAGGGGCTCTCTCTCTTTCTCTCCAGCGGAACCCCTAGGGGGTTTTCAGAGACTGCAAATTGTACTAGAGGAGATCACCACCATCTGGTGGATTCAAACTTCCTGGCTTTGGATTGACAGTGCAACTCCTTACCCACTAGGCCACCAGGGCTCCCTTCAATAAATGAAGCCTGACTCAATGTTAGCCGGGGAGGAGGCGCCAGATCCATTCTCCAGCCCACCTTCCGCACAGGGGTTGTGCAGGAGGTTCCTATGGAGGCTGCGCAGGAAGTAGAAGATCTTCCAGTCGGCCACCGGCTGGTCCCAGTGCTCGGTGATGAAGCCTTCCCGGAGACACTTGCGCTTCCAGAGGGTCACAAGGTCGATGAGGTCGCGCCACAAGCTGCAGACAAGGCGGCAGCGCAGCAGCAGCTGGCGTGCGGGCACGTGGGTGAACAGCTCCAGCAGGATGTTCTCCGGCAGCTCGTTGATGTTCTGCACCGCCATGGTCCCAGGCATCATCCTGCGGGGATGGAAAAGCTCCGCTACAGGCTGGACCCTTCCCCCCAGGTCGTGGTATTGGCAGGAGCCCGTGGGGGGGGGGGTGGCAGTTCCCATCCCAGTTCCGTCATTTACTATTTTAGGAAAGTCACTGTGTGTCTCTGAACCTCCGTTTTCTCCTCTGTAAGATGGGCCATGAACAGTACTTTCCATTTGGGCTCGGAAAAGGGTTCTACAGGCCAGGGACACTGCAGGGGCTCACTCAAAAGTGAGTGACTTTTTGTCACTGCAACTCACAACGACAGAGGGACCCGGAGAGGTGACAGGACCTGCCTATGGTCACACGGGGGGGGGGGGGGACGACACAAGAGGGTAAGGAGCCCAGGACTGTTCTAACTCTAGAGTCACTTTTTCCAGGTGAGAACACTGAGAAAGCACGTCAACCCGCCCTGAAACCTTCTCTATTCTCATCCATCCTCAAGATGAAGGGAAAGGGCAGTGCAGGTGGAGGTGGCGATGGGAAAGGGCCTTTCTTTTTGGTATCGCGATTCCCAGTCCCAACCACCGCAACTGAGCTTTAGCCCCAAGTGCTCCAGCGCATCCAAGACCCCAAGCTTTAAAATGTTCCTAAAAGTCCGTACTCCTTGTAAAAACTATGAGGCGACCTCAGCCCGGTCCCCGCACGCCGCCGTTCGCGGGCCGCAGCGTAGCCAGCCTGGAGAAGTGCGGGGGCCTGGACCTTGCCAGTGCGGAGCTGCAGGGAGCCGACGAGCTTGCCCTTTACGGTTGTGCCCTATACTGGGCACCCCAGAGCCCCTCTTACCAGTCACCTGCGCTCCGTCACTGCTGCGTTGGTGGTCAAGCCGCGGGTCAACAGCGTTGCGAACCCGCCTCTCATTCCGGATTCAGCCCCACCTCCTCCCCCCCAGGCCCGCCCCTCACCCGGGACTCAGATTCACATCCTCCCCAAGCCCCGCCCCCTATCCGGGACTCAGCCCTACCTCCTCTCTAGGCCCTCCCCTCACCCGGAACTGAGATTCACCTTCTCCCAGGCCCTGCCCCTCAGCCGGGACTCAGCCCCGCCTCCTCCCCAGGCTCGCCCCTCACCCCAGATTCAAATTCGCCTCCTCCCCGGGTCCTGCCCCTCTCTGACTCAGATTCTCCTCCACCTCAGGCCCCGCCCCTCACCCGGAACTCACATTCACCTCCTCCCAGGCCTCCCGCCCGACACAGATTCTCCTCCTCTTCAGGCTCCGCCCCTCATCTGGGACTCAGATCCGCCTCCTGCCCGTGCCCCGCCCCTCATCCGGGACTCAGCCCCGCCTCCACCCAGGTCCCGCCCCTCCGCGGCGGCAGCGCAGGTCCTCGGGTGCGTGCCCCTACGATGCGCGCTCCCATCGCGATGTAGGAAAATTACCTGGGGTGGGGGCGGGAGGAGCCTCCCGTTCTCCCCCCCTCCGCCTGGACAGTAGGTCCTGCACCCTCTGCATGACCCAGACTCAGTCTTAGCGCTGCTGCCTCCATTCCAGGATAGCCCTGGAAGAATCCTTCAGTCCCCTTCCCCTAAGGAAAAAATACGAGAAAGACCCCTGACCTTTCTCGGCCTCTTGGGTTTTCTCGGCCTCTTGGGTCCGCAGCCTCGGCCCTCCGGCTGGCCGTTCCAACTGCGGGGCGCCCCGGCGCAGAGCCAAAGGCGGGGCGGGGCGGGGCGAGGCGGCGGCCTTTTAAGAGGCGCTGCCGGCCGGGTCCGGTCCAGACGGGGACAGCGCCTGGACTCTGCCGCCGGGAACTCGGCGGTTCCGCAGTGCCCCGGAGCCTCCATTCGCGACCGCCCTCCGCAGCGATGGACGGAGACGGTGACCCAGGTAGCCGCCGTCTGGACCCCCTCGCGCCAGCCCGGGATGGGAGATTTGGGCAGGCGGGCGAGTACAGAAAAGGGGGGTGGTTCACCTAGGAGCAAAGGAGCCGTCCCAAATCCACCAAGGCAAACTTTCACTCAGCAAGCCCTTCAGACAATCCCTAAAAGCCATGTTCGTCATTTGGATCTTGGTCTAGCGTGAGGCCTCCAGAGATGTCAGTTGAGGAAGGAAGACCCCAGGGTTCCATTTACCCAAGAAATAGAACTAGAGTCGTTCCAAGTGCCCAGCCCAGGGTTTCCTGAGAGACTGGAGGCTGCAAGACTTTTTCTTCCACAGTTTATTTTTGCCAACTCTGGCCCCTGAGTTATCTGAACCTCCTTGAGTTTCTCATGGTTACTAGCCCCCCTTTTCCAGCTGGGGCCTTCTTTCTGGGCTCCCTCGCCTGAGAGGGGCTGCCCTTCATCTGGGCAGATGCCGGAGCCTGGGCTGGGAGTGAGAGAGAGCTGAGGGTCAGCTCTTTGATTTGTGCTTAGCCCTTGATGTTTGCCCAGTCATCTTCTCTGGCACCAAAGACCCCTTATCTCTCTCTCTCTCTCTCTCTCTCTCACACACACACACACACACACACACACACACACACTTTCCACTGTGTCCACAGGGGTTGCCTGCTGAGTCAGGGTGGGATCAGAGTAGCTCCCCTTCTCATTCGCATTCTAGTCAATCTCCCAGCCAATCCCCTTCCCTCCCCCGTGACCCCCTTGCCACTTTCTTTCTGGGTCCCCCGAATCTGTTCCTGCTTTTTCCCAGGGCCTAGCTATTCCCTGGACTCCGGGGCCCAATCCAGGTGAGTGACTCAGCCTTGGAGGCAGCATCCAGGGGCCAGATAACTTTCCGATGCAACAATGTGGGGAGTTGTGTGCACATGAGAGGGGGTGGGGGGCAGTAATAGGATCTGGGACCTCAAGTGCCAGGCCCAGGGCCAGGAGAGGGGACTGGGCAAGGTGCACCTTTCAGGGAGCATCAGGTGTCCACTGGGGCCAAGGCAGGCTGGGGGTGTGGCGAGGTAGGGAGGTGAGGACATTGGGCCCAGTTCCCCAGAGAGCAGTGGGCAGTGCATGGGCAGATGAGGTGGCTGCTTTAGGAGCTGGCATTGTCCTCTCTGACTCTGCACTGCCCTGCTAAGCCTCTCTGGGCCTCAGTTTCCTCTTCTCCAAAAGGGAAGGTAAACCCTCCCCCAACATACCCCCTAAAAAAGCACATACACATAATAATGAAGGGTAAGAGAATAAAATTCAATCAGCATTTGCTTCAGGGCTTTAAGTTTATTGCAGTTTGGCCTCCTGCTAAGAATTTGTGTTTCCAGCCCAGAAAAAATGGAATCAGAATCTACATTTTAACAAGATGATTCTTACAGATCCCCAGGTGGTTCTTATGCATACATCTGGTTAAAATACATAGATTTCTGATTCAGTATATTTAGGATGGAAAGGCAAATTCTCAGCAGGGGTTGGACTTCAATGAGGAGGTAAACCTAGATCCAACTCTTAAGGGACTGATTGTGGAAGTGACAGAAAATGTTACATATGCAAAGGCTAAGGCTGGCAGGTTGGGTCTTGGCATCTCTAGACTTGGCCTCAGCTCTGTCACCTGTCTCCTCCTTGAGTGCCTCACCCTCTTTCCCCCACCTTTCCTGGCCAAAGCCTTCAGGAACTCTCCATGCTAGGTTTGTGAATGGTGGCCTCCCCATCACCCAAAGTGGCCCCATCACCTTCCTACTGCCGACCTCCCCCTTCCCCCCACCCAGACACTGAGCATGAGGTATCTGCTTACTCAAGGCTGTCATGGCCTAGCTGGGACTGGCTAGAATCTAGGACACATCCCTGACCACAGTGCCCCACATCTCCCCCCTCTAGACAACTGATAATGCACCTACCCTCTGTTTACAGAATTTGTGCATCAGCCTTGTCCAAACAGCCTAGGAAAAAAGTTATCCCCATTTTACAGGTTGAGGAAACTGAGGGCCAGGCATGTGAAAGAAACAAACTGTTCCTTCTTAAGCACCTTCACATCTATCTCACTGTTGGATAGATATGATCTCTTTCAAACAGCTCCCCTGTCCCATCCTTATGTCACACTGTGGTGTCTGTCTGGGGACCACTCCTATGTTGCACCATCCCCCTGCTCTGTCCTCAGTGGCAGATCCCAAGTCCCCTGGCCTAACAGTAACAGTGTGCCCTTTGACAAGTCACTTCAGCCTTCTTAATGTGTTTTCATCTGCAAAAATCAAAATGCCAACAGTGCCTACTTGTTTCAAACCTCATTTCGTTATTTTATCAAGGCTGTTGTAGTGGTTAATGGTAGCTCTGGAACCAGATTGCCTGGGATCGAATGCAGATCCCAACCAGTCACCATGCGATCCTGCACCATCTAACTTTTCTGCCTTAGTTTCCTCACCAATGATATAGGGACAGCAATAGCCGCAGCTGAAGAAATTTAAGTCCCCACAGATTTAAATAATAAATAAAATGGAAATGCTTAGAGCAGTGTCTTACCCTTGCAAAGTGCCAAATAAACATAGAAGTTGGCAGCATGCCAGGCAGGGTGCCAGATGCCAAGTACTAGAGGTGAAGTAAGGAGTTTCCCAGGCTTGACTCCTGCCATCATGGAGCGGGTCTAGTCAGGAGAGAGGCATTTATCAAACCATCTCACCTTAGGATGGATATGAGCTGTAATGGGGGGGAAATCCCAGGAAGGCTTCTCTGAGGAGGTGACACACCTCTGCTCTCAGAGGATGATTGGGAGAATGAAAGGAATTCTGTGTGAAACACTTCTCCTTAACCAGTTACCATCTAGTCAGTTCCAACTCATGGCAACTCCGTGTGTTGAAGCAGAACTGTGCTACATCGAGTTTTCAATGGCTGGTTTCTGGCAGCAGATTCCCAGGCCTTTCTTCTCAGGCACCTCTGTGTGGATGTGAAGCTCCAGCTTTTTTATTAATAGTCAGGCAATCTCCTCCAGTGAAACTATTGCCTCTGAAAACCCACTGGAAGATCAGCTATGGGTCGGCTCCGACTCGATGGAACACAGCACCACCAGCACCACCAGCACCAGCACCACCACCACCATCACCACAGTCAAGCCTATTAACCATCTTCACCACTCACGGATGCAGAAATAGTCCTTAGGACAATTCTGTAGATGGCTGCCATTAATCATATCATCACTGCTGTTACCTGCTCAGAGATACAGCTTAGTGGCCCAGCAAGGGAACCTGAGGCTTCTGAGGTCCCTCTTCAGACTTAGTGGCTGGCCTGACCCACTTGGGCCCCCTCTTCTTTTTCTTGTATATTAAAACAAGCAGGTCAATGCCATATATCCAGAGGTACAAGCTAGTCAGGCAATGGAGCTTTCAGGAGTGGAGAAAAGAGAGATTTCTCAGTCTGAGTTAGGTGGTTGGATCTGGTGTGATTCCATGCTTGGCTAATACTGGTGAGGTCATGGGGCAGCACTGCCCTTCTGTAGGGACAAGGTGGTGGAGGTGGCTGAACATCTCTTGCCGCCCCTCCACCTTCACTGCCCGAGGCTTGATTACTCTGGGTCGGATTCACCTGGGAGGCAACTTCACGGATCTCATCCTGGGTTTTTTATCCATTCGCTGTTTTGCCTGTTGGACGTAATGCCTTTGCACCCTTCTGCTGAGCACCAGGTTGTCTGAGGAGGGGGAAGCGCATACCCAGCACATCGCGGGACGCAGGGAGGGGGTGGTCGTGGAGGGAGGAGACACAGCCCCCCACCCGCTCCCACCCCCAGAGAGTGTGGGCCAGCCCGAGGAGGCCAGCCCCGAGGAGCAGACGGAGGAGGCGGGCGCGGAGGAAGCGAGCGCGGAGGAGGACCGGCCGGAGGAGGGAGAAGAGGTGGCGGCCTACCTCGACGAGCTGCCCGAGCCGCTGCTGCTGCGCGTGCTGGCCGAGCTGCCGGCCGCGGAGCTCGTGCAGGCCTGCCGCCTGGTGTGCCTACGCTGGAAGGAGCTGGTGGACGGCGCCCCCCTGTGGTTGCTCAAGTGCCAGCAGGAGGGGCTGGTCGGGGAGGATGGCGCAGAGGACGAGCGCGACCAGTGGCAGCAGTTCTACTTCCTGAGCAAGCGGCGGCGCAACTTGCTGCGCAACCCGTGCGGGGAAGGTGAGGGGCCACCCGGGGTGGCCCGCGCTGTTCCTCGCCCCGGGTGTGAAAGTGGGCCATCTCACTATCAGTCTGTCTCGTTAAATGATAAAGCTCTTGATACTGTGCCCAGCAGAGAGCAGTCCCGGTTAACACACTGCCAGTTATCTTCCTGGCTTCCTGCCTCCACCCTGTCTGCGGGCAGGTCTCTTTCCCAGGCAGGTCCCGTGGAGGACCCTCCCCTAGGAAGAAATTCCCATCATATGTACCTCTGCTCTCCCGTCCTGCGCTTCAGGGAGGGACAAGTGCTTCGCTGCACCCCCAAGCACGGAGGGGGTGACCAGGATGGGGCTGTTGTTTCTGCACAGAGGATTTGGAGGGCTGGTGTGACGTGGAGCACGGTGGGGACGGCTGGCGGGTGGAGGAGCTGCCTGGCGACTGTGGGGCGGAATTCACCCAGGATGAGAGCGTCAACAAGTTCTTCGCCTCCTCCTTTGAGTAAGAAGGGGCATGGAGGGGCTGGCGCTGGGCTGGGGGTGTCCACCCCGTCTTGACCTCAGTTCTCCCAGGTGGTGTCGCAAAGCACAGGTCATCGACCTGCACGCTGAGGGCTACTGGGAGGAGCTGCTGGACACGACTCAGCCGGCCATCGTGGTGAAGGACTGGTGAGTGACACTGAGGCCAGGGCTGCTCACGGCCGGAGGAGATGGGGGCGGATTGGAGCCAGTGCCCCACCTCAGGGGCCAGTGCCTCCGACTCTTAGGGGTTATGATGTTCTCGTGGGCATTTCGAGGGTTGACAAGTTTTTAGGAGCAAAGAAATCTACCCCTTCTCCCTAGATAATGCAATCTTGGCAAATACATACATCTTTAAAAAAAGAAAAAAAAAAAAGATCAATTTGTGGTTCAACAAACAACATAAAAATAACGTGTTTAAGCGGGTTTGACCCCAGAGTTGGGTCTGACGGACTTGGATTTAGTCTTGCTTGGTGATACTGGTGATACTTTCCCAGTTTATGGTCAAGTCCAGCAGGGCTGAGGTTGCGCGCACGCAGTGCCTCCTTCCCTCCGGACAGGTACTCCGGCCGCAGCGACGCCGGCTGCGTGTACGAGCTCACGGTGAAGCTTCTGTCGGAGCACGAGGACGTGCTGGCCGAGTTCAGTAGCGGGCAGGTGGCTGTGCCTCCGGATGCTGAGGAAGGGGGCTGGACTGAGGTGAGCTGTGGGGGTGGGGCCTCGGGAGGGGGCGGGGCCTAGACCAAGGGGTGGGACTGGTGGAAGCCCCGCCCACGGCTGAGCGGGCGGGTGCGCACGCAGCGCCGCCTACAGGTGCTGAGAACAGCCTTGAGCGGACCCACGGGGCGCAGGGGCTGGGGGACCTGGAGGACGCCTCCGGGACCTTCCAGCTTCATCTCGCTTGCCTTCTTGTCCTTAGATCTCCCACACTTTCACCGACTATGGGCCCGGCGTCCGGTTCGTCCGCTTCGAGCACGGAGGGCAGGACTCCGTCTACTGGAAGGGCTGGTTCGGGGCCCGAATGACCAACAGCAGTGTGTGGGTGGAGCCCTGAGTGACACCCCCTGCACTCCTCCCAGAGGCCCCGGCGAGCAGAGACCACGGGTAGCTAGTCCTTAATTAGCTCGTAGTATCCTCTTTCCCAAACCCTCTTATCCTGCCCTTTACCCCATGCCTAGTCCTTCCACGCGGGAAGAGAGGGTTTTTGTTGGCATAAATATACAAATATTTGCATCTCATTGGCAGCCCACCATTAGAATGTAAGTTCTCAGGGGGCGTGGACCTGGGCTGGATTCTTTGCCGTATTCCCCGCGCCTAGCACGGTGCCTGCCTCTAACTAGGCGCTTAATAAATACTATTGAAAGAATGAATGAACACACGGGTGAATGAATGCCCCTCCCATCCGGGTCTCCAGAGGGCTCCTAGCCCAGGCTGGACAAATACTGGAGGAGCGCCAGCTGCTCTGGTTTCCAAAGCCCCTGGGTCAGTGTGGAGCCAGCTGAGCCTGGGCCTCAGGGCCGGACAAAGGCTGGGATTGTGAGACTCAAGGAGGGGTGAACAGAGCCTGGCGCCTGAAGACACCCAAGCTGCTCTGGGGCTGGGGCGGTGGTGTTTGCTCTCCAGGCCTCTCTGTCCAGCGCTTATTCCAGTTTTGTCTGACACCCTCCCCCTACTTCTGGACGCAGTGGGGTATGGCGCCAGGTCTAGTGTACAAATTCTCCTGGGTTCAGGGATGAAGACCAGTGGTAGATCAGAGGGAGTTACAGAAGGGTCAGTAGGACGTCCCTCTTGGTTTAAATCCACTCATGTCCTCCTTGGACCAGTGCTGATTTGAACAGGACCCACTGGTGTCTAGTCTCTCATTGGTTAGTGTCCAACTTCCTTGGATCGTTCTCTAGGGGGAAGGGAGGGGCAAGTATCCTGCTTTATGCCTCCCAGCAGCTCTCAGATCCAAACCCTTTGAAGGATTCCCAGCTGCTGGCGCTGAGTGGTTGAAGGTCTTAAAACCTCAGATGGTGACCTATAAACTCATGTCCTGGGTCCAACTTCCCTGTGAGACTGAGGCCTGATGCTGGTCGGGGGCATTGTAGGGTTCAGGCTCTTGTTCCTGCCTACACTTGCTCATTCATTCATTCATTCATTCATCCACAGTTCTGGAACCCTGACTTCTAGCTAGGTCCTATGTATATGTGTGTGGCAGGGGTTGTAGGAAGGTAAGAGCTGGGGTCCTGAAGTTGTAGGAGTAAGATACTTCTCCCCCAGAGGGGTCAGAGTCTGACTACATGAGAATGGAGCCTCCTTGGACAGGATATAACTGGTGCTTTAGGGAACTTCCAGTATAATGGCGGGACCCTGACCCTGTCCTGGGGCATCCTCAGCCCACAGATAAGACAAAACCCAGAACCTCAGAGAATTCCTAGTCTCTTTAATTCTTCCTTAGGAGTTTCCCCAATCCGGTGGTGCAAGCACAGCCCACACCCATAATAGTTGCCATTCAGAGGAAGCTGTGCTCTGGGGCCTCAGTTTGATGATCTAAGAAAGCAGAGGCTTAACATTCACATCTTAACCCACCTCCCCAGGAGCTCCAGTGTTTAAGTGAAGGCAAAACTGTGTGAGGATCCAGATAGGAATGTGGTACAGGGTCCAGCCTGCATCGGCCCACAAGTCGAGGCTGGACACAGATGACAGCAATGGAATGGAGGGCTCAGAATCTGACTGTGGGTACCTTCAGACCAGTATCAGGGCAGTGATGTGAGGGTTCATCATAAGCTCTCTGAGTTTGAGGTACCCATGAAGCAGGTTTCTGGGCATCTGAAGTTATCTGCAGGCTCTGGGCTGTAGATGCAGATTAGAGAACTGCATTTCTCTGGCCAGCAACCAAGGCAGGGGCATTGTGAGGGCTGATATCGAGGCAGTGGTGGGTCCAAGGAAATACTGACTTTTGGGGACAGGATGGGGGGAGGCAGAACAACTAGGGGAGGTGGTACAGTGAGAAGTTAGGAGGGTACGAGCCCAGTGAGGCCATCTCCAGCTAATGGCTTGGTCATGCAAAAAGCCAGAAGCCCAGAGGCCAGCTTCCTTGCCAGAGGCTGCTGAGGGCTCTTCCCAGGGTGCAGAGCCTCTGTGTGCCTGTGGAATTAACTAGGGATGAGGAAGTTTTTGCTCCTGAGTCAGCAAAGGACTGAAGCCTCCATGCTTGAAGGTGGCACGTCTTGTCCCTGGAGGCACAGCGACAGAAAATAGTGCCTGTGGCAATTAGTTTTAAATTGCTGAATGATTTCTCACAGCTGGTGATGGAATCTTCGAAGGTGAATAGGAGCTGCTTATTGGTCCCTCCCTCAACCCCTAATCAAGTGGCACCAGGGCACATGTCATACTTGTCAGGCACTAGATATGACTCTGCCTGCTACAGCCATTACGCTTCGAGGAATGAGAGGCAAGGGATGTTATCCTCCCCCTCCTGCACACCAGGAGACTGAGGACAGAGACTGCTGACAAATGAGTAACTAGAAAAACACGAGTTCTAATCTAGTGCACACCAGATGCTGGCGAGCGTGCACTCAACCTCTCATCTGAATCGCTCTGATGCTCCAGGCCGGAGCTGGGACCCTCCTGTGAACCAGCCAGGACTGACCCTGACTTCCCAGAGACCCCACGTGTGCCAGAGAACTGTGCTCCATAGGGTTTTCAATGGCTGACTTTTTGAAAAAAGCCAGAACTTTCTTCTCTGGTGACCTAGTGAGTACAGAGTTGCACTGCCAACACAAAGGCATGGAGTTCGAATCCACCAGCTGCTCTTCAGAAGGAAGATAAGCAGTCTCCTCCCATGTGATTTAGTCTCTGGAAACCTACTGGAGGGTCAGCTCTGAACTGGTTCTAACTCGATGGCAGTAAGTTGAGTTGTTGAATTTTTCCTGAACTATCAACCGTTCTGGCAGCAGCGGAGCCCTCTGGAGATTATATTCCCACTCCGAGCAACCCTGGAGAGCACAGTAGAACTGTCGGTAGAGCTTCCAAGGCTGTAAATATGGAGGCAGACTGTTTCATCTTTCTGTGCAGCAGCCAGTAGGCACAAACCGCTGATGCTCTGGTTAGTAGCCAGATGTTCTGCTCACAGCACTGCAGAGTGTGTGTGAGCCTAATAGGAAGGACTGGACATCCCGTGGACTGCCAAAGAACACACAGATATGTTTGGAGAAGGTGCAGTTAGAGTGCTCCTTAGAGGCAAAGATAGTGAAACTTTGTCTCACTGACTTTGGGCATGTAGCTAGGAGGCTATTCCTTGGAGAAGGAGGAGGGACGGTGAAGGAGAAAAAGCCCCCTTAACCAGGTGGATTGACACAGTGATTACTGCAGTGGGCTCAAGTATGTCAGAGGTTGTGACATACTCACAAACACAGCATAAGACGGGGTTCAGATCTGTTGTTCAAAGGGTCACGCAATGAGTCATACTCCACTGCGCTCAACATCAGCTTCTTTTAAAAGAAAACCGACGTGCTGTCCAGCAGGGGGCACCCTCTCAGAAGGATACCGTGGCTGACAGTCGACTACATCACTCACTCAGTGGCACCCAAGCATCTTGGCATGTCTGCTCAGATTCTCTTCCAGTCAATCAGATGCTTATTGAGTATCTACTATGTGTCCTAAGACATTCAGCTTCTAAACAAAAGGGTGGCCGTTCAAACCCAGTAGCTACTTCCAGGGAGAAAGATCAGGCAGTCTGCTTGCATGAAGATTCACAGCCTCTGGAATCCCATGGACGGTTCTACGCTGTCTTGCAGGGTTGCCGTAAGTAGGAATGAACTTGATGACAGTGAATCTGGTATTATGTGCTTTTCTGAAATTTATATTCTATGTGGAGAAACATGTAAACACAAATAAATAACTGAGCAAGATAATTATCAACATGATACAGCCTTAATATACATGTAATAGCTTTCTTCCTCAACCCCACAAGTCAAAGGCATTGGTCTTTCTTTGACCATCCTTATATGTCTAGCTGATGAGTGTCCCATGAGCTGCCAAAAGGACACACACACACACACACACACACACACACACACATGTTTTGGAAAAAGTGCAGCCAGAATGCTCCTTGGAGGCACGGATGGTGAAGCTTCATCTCACATACTCTGGGCATGTGGTTAGGACAGAAACAGACATCATGCTTGCAAAGGAGAAGAGTCAGCGAAAGAGGAAGACCCTCAATGAAATAGATTGACACAGTGGCCACAGCACAGGACCAAGTATATCAGAGATGATAAGGATGGCACAGGTTAAGACATGGTTCAGATCTGTTGTTCATAGGGTTGCTATGAACTGTACTCGATGACACTTAACAACAGCAATATACAGTCCTATATTACAATATGCAATATTATGATATATAATAGCTTTATATTTATTGAAATTTCATCTGGACCTGATGAATTGGAAACCATTTTAATACATGAGAAAACTAGAGCACAGAGAGGTTCGAAACTTGCTTGTGGCCACACAGCTAACAAGTGAGAGAACTGGGTTTCTAAGCAGCCACTTAGGCATTTGACCTCTTACCACTAGACCAATAGGCAGTATCATGATGAATGGAGAGAAGATTGAAACTGTCAACATCTTCATCTTTCTTGGATCCACCATTAAGACCCTTGGTACCAGCAGTCAGAAAATAAGGAGATGCATTGCACTTGGAAAATCTGCAGTTAGGAAACTTTCTGAATTATTGAGGAGTAATGATGTTGCTTTGAGGACTAAGATTCAGTCCATAGTCTTTCCAATCACTTGCTATGCATCTGAGAGCTGGACAATGAATAAGGATGACAGAAAAAGAATTGATACCTTTGAGTTGATGTGTTGGAGAAGAGCACTGAACATCCCATGGACGGGAGAACAAACAGATATGTCTTGGAGAGGATGCAGCTGGAGTGCTCTTTGGAGGCAAGAATGATGAAGCTTCATCTCACATACTTTGGACATGTTCCTAGAAGGGGGGCTATTCCTTGGAGAGGAACATGATGCTAGGAAGGGTGGAGGGTCAGCAAAGGAGAGGAAGACTCT